AAAAAAAAAACAAGCACATAGGGGCTGGGGAGATGGCTCAGTAGAATAAGCGCTTCCTTGGCAAGCGCAAGGGTCTGAGTTCAAGCCCTGGTTCCGCCCAGATTAAAAAAAAAAAAAAACCCAAGCACAAGTGCTGGATTCATCTGTTGAATTCCATAAAACCTTTAAAGATATTGTATCACCAACACTCTTCAAGCTCTTGAAAGAAATTGAAAGGGATGGAGCATTTCCTAATTCACTTATGGAAGTCAGTATCATCCTGACCTGAAAGCGAGATAAAGACCCAACTGAAAAAGAAAACAAAAGCCCAATCTCCTTAATAAACATAGATGCAGAAAATCTCACTAAGGTATTAACAACTGGGCATAGTGGCACATGCCTGTAATCCCAGCACTAGGGAGGATGAGACATGAGGATCACTGGGAGTCTGAGACCAGCCTGGGGTACAAAGTGAACTCAAGGCCAGCCTGAACTGCACAGCATGACCGTGTCTCAAAAAAATTTAAAAAATACATAAATAAATAAATCTGGAGGTATAGCTCAGCGGACTAAGCAACTAAGCGCTTGCTTAGGTAAGTGCAGGGGCCAGGGTTCCATCGCTGGCACCACATGCCCATCCCTGGCGCGCGCACACACACACACCCCTGGCACACTGAGCACAGTGATGGAGTCTGGGCATGGTGGCGTGGCACACACTTTGCAATCCCAGCACTAGGAAGCCAGAAATCAGGAGGATCACTTTGAGTCCAAGCTGTGTAGTGAGACCCTGCACACAAAAAAAAAAAAAAAAAAAAAAAACAGGGTCGGCCAGTAAAGCACCTGCTTAGGCAAACACAGGTTTGATCCCAAGCCTACGTGCTGGCCCTGCTGCCAGGGCACACTAAGAGGGCAATTGAGACTGGGCATGGTGGTGCATGCTTGTAATCCCACGCTTGGGCAGCTGAAAACTGGAGAATCACTAGAGTCCAATCTGTATAGTGAAACCCTGTAGATCCTGGACTAAATAATTTAAAAAAAAAAAAAAAGAATTGCAAATAGAATGCAGCTCTCATCAAAAAGATCATACATGATGAAGTTTCATCCTAGAGATACAAGGATATTTCAACATACATAAACCAATAAACCCAATACATCTCAAGAACACAAGCAAGGTCAAAAACCATATGATCATGTCAACAGACACAGAAAAAGCTTTTGGTAAAGGACAACACCCCTCATGATAAAATTCCTGAATAAAACAGGTATAGCAGGACCATACCTGAATGTGATAAAAGATATTTATGACAAACCAATACCCAGGATCATACTAAAAGAAAACAAAAAAAGAGATGGTTCAGTGGAATAA